CCCCCCATCACCACCGAGATAGCAGATAATGTGAATTTATTTTGAATCTCCCTCAGAAAGTCATCATATTTTTATACCTTTAGATGGAGCACTGATAGGTCCTTACAGTACAGGATAAGATTACCTTATGGCAATGGCCCCTCAAGGCAATGTAATACAATGTCAATGTGAAACTTTAACAGTCTATAATAATTACGAATTTCTGTTAACTGGATGAGTTTTTTAAAAGTCAGGTACATCAGGACATGACACATGTAACATCTTCAAATAGGTTCTTTCTGGGGGGTCTTTTGGGGGATTTTAACCAAGAGCACAAGAATACCACAGACTCAGGTGCCTCCTGTCTTGCCCCATGCCAACTGCTTTCACAAAATAGTGTACTGTTTGATGCCCTTGGTTACTCCGCTTCAGCTTGTCATGATGGTAGAAGATGAATGAAGCCATCTTTTTCTAGGACATCTTGAAGATCTAAAATTGAATCACTTAGTAAAGACTGAAATGAGTCTATTACACACATATATATGTATATGAATAAAGGTGCACGTGAATATTCTCACGTGTGTAGGTATTTGCTCAATACCTAGAAGGAAGTCTCTTACTTTGAGAGAGAATGGAAGTGAAAAAATAAGAATATGTGATATACATTTAAAAAGTTAAAATTAAGACATGATTATATCAATTTTCTAAGGAAAAAAAGCCTATAACCCTTTGGCTAATACTATCATATCCAAATCTGACTCGTAAAATGCAGAGTCTGCTTTAAATCATATTTCTCTTAATTAGGGTCATTGCTACAAATGAAAGCCGATTTGGGTGCTAGTCTAATAAGAAAACGCCAGTTACGGTATATTATCAACCCCGACTTGCCAGGCATTGAATTTCCTGATATGGTCTGCTGGGAACCTTAAATGAACAAGAGCAATTATAACCCTAAAGTCTGTAGCCATTTGTTGGCATTATCTCAGGATAATTTCCCTGAAACATTCATGATGAAATGCAAAGGTAGATAATTTAAAAATCCATTTAAAATAGCTGTGGTATAATTTAAACTAAGGTCTCTCTGTATAGTGGACATCATGGCAAAACTGCATTTTGAAACAGATCTCTTACAAATGATCTTTTCTTAGGTATTAGTGTCTTGGAAAGTGATTTAAACAAGTTGAAATAATTTTGTTAAATGTAGTGTGAGTAAAACAAAAACATTTGTGTGATTTAGGTTTTGTTTAAATGAAGAAAAATCATAAAGGTTGATCTTAAAGGAAGTCAGCCAGTGGCTTGTTATTGCCCAGAAAAAAAGTAAAAAAAAAAAAAACTTGAAAAAAATCAATAAGTCAGAACTTCACTATATGTCTTCCTCAGTTTTTGTAGTGTTAAAGTGACTCTAGTAGCCAATTCTGAGGTTATTTTTGGACAGGAGTGTGGTAGATGTTTAGAGAGAAAACTCATACATTTTTTACATTTAGTTTGCCCTCTGTCCATTCCTTCTCTTATAAGACTCAAATCATCTCTTAAATGGAAACTGCATTAAACAAAAGCAAAATTTAAAATAGGAGAACTGCCATAATAAACAAATATTGGAGTCACCATGCCACATCCACAGGGTTTTCTTTCTGCTTCTTTATCTCAACCCATTTCTCTTTAATTTCTCTATTTAAGTTCTTGAGCAGGAATGGAATATCAAGATTAAAACTCAATACTAGCCCAATTTTATTGTCAATTTCTCCACTCAGAAAACAGAGGTTTATAATGGAAGTCCTGACACAGGCTTTGCTCTAATAAATGACAAGATGAACCAATAAACTACACCAAGAGACTATTACCAGGAACCATTACTGCTCAGAGAACAGAGTAAAATTTATTTTTGCTTTGAATCTTGCTCAAGAGCTCAAGCATCACACAGTGATTTGGGACTTTGCTTCACACTGAAGAGAAGCCATTCTCTACTTTTCCCAGAAGATCTAAACTGTGAGGAAAGGAGGTCCCTTCTCCAGCATCCCAAGCGTGTGACACAAATGTGGGATGTGACACATCATTGTAAGAAACTTATATTGGGGTAAAGCACAGAAAGCCTATGGATCATATTCATAATTGATTTTAAAGGCAGCCACTTGAGAGATGGTTAACACATGGCTTTCCGTTTCAATGGTGCCTTTGTATTCTATGATGTTTGCCTTTCTCCTGGCGCTGTGTCATGGGTTACTTTAGAAGCAGTACAAGGGTCATCCTTTAAACATCTATTTTTAGTACCTTTCATCAGCTCAAGTTATCATCTCACCTAGAGCATTCCAATCACCTGGGGATGACAACTTGTTGAAAATGGTCCTTTAGTGTCACCCACGGCAGAACGACAGCTGAACCTACTGCCTTACAGATCCGTGCTTTGCCTTTTAAAAATCTTTCTTCTTCTGTATCCCAGGTTTTGGTTGGTCATGGCGTCATTATTACTTGTGTTACAAAGTTCCTAATTCCTAGTGCTGAGCTCAAGACATTTTAAATTGGACTTTCAGAAGAATGGACACAAACAATTTCAGTTTTGAAGAAATCATCACCCTTGGCGATCTCTTGCTTCCTTTGGAGTTCAGTGACTGTGAACCTGATTCACCTTAGGAATTTCTCTCTCTTGTTGTTGGACCACTGAGGATTTACTTTCTCATTTGCTTTCCTGGAATCTGACATTGATCATCTTCCTTAGATTGTTTTCTGGCTTGCAGTTTGATCTTGGCACGCAAGCTCTGACCACTTCTTTGTAGTCACATTTACATTTCTGAGCTCACTCCTTCCCCGTCTTTCCCAAGGTGCACTTCTGTCCTAGCAGCTCCGTCATGCCAAAGGTGACTTTGGGGAGAGACTGGGACTGCTTTTCACCGAAAGCCCGGAGAGCTGCACCTATGTCAACAGGAAATGCACAGACTGGCAGACGTAGAACAATTCAACTCCAGAGTGTTTTAGGCATCCTTATAGATTACACACTAGAAAAGAACAAAATAACAAGTAGTACGAGGGAAACAGTGGCAAGACAATGTATCCTGTACAAAGATCTTCCTTTACGACTTCGCCACCTTTCTCCCAGGTTGTTGATTATTACAGTAAACAGTTACAGGCAGAGCAATTCTGAGCCATTTCATGTGAACATTGTTAAAGGAAATAAAAGTGAAGGCAGAAAAACATTTAAAAAACCTACTAAGACACCGTGAACAGAAATGGCTAATTATAGAGCTGCTATTAAAATGCTTTTTTTCCCCCTCTTCTTGAAACAGGATTTTTGTTTGATAATTAACAGACCTACAGAGCCCATTACATCCTCAGACTCTGAAGGTATCGATCCCGATCCCTCTGTCTCTGGCTGCCACATTTGTTCTTTCTGGGTCTTCTTCCCCTGAGGATTTTGCTGATTTCATAATTGAGGGGAGGAGTGAGGGCGGGAAGTTACCAAAGGTGGCCTGCTGTGTGAGGGACAGCTGAGAGGGCGGCCTGGGGAGAGGGGGCTGCCCAATTGCCCATGAAATTTCTCTGCTCTGTTCTATATTTTATTTTATCTTTATTCTTTGATGATTTTCATAACGGTAAGATCTCACATAAGCATATAGCTTTTTGAAAACCCTAAACATTCTGATATACAAAATAGTGATACAAGGCTGAAACACTTACTACTCTAGGTATATTTATTCTCTAAAACAGATGGTTCCATCTAGTGCAATTCCTTTGTGTGTGGTCAATTGAAAGAAATGGAGAACAAAATAATTTTTATTACCATGAGCCCAGTTCATAAACCAGAAGCTCTTAGCTGTTGGTGACTTTGATAATGAGACATCTTGTCCAATTCCAGAAGGAGGTTCAGCTTTGAGCTGAAACTTCTCTACAGGGAGCATCTTCTCGCCTCTCTTTCGGGACCCACGATAGAGCTGAAAGAGCTCTAGGCATTTTTCTATATAGGCTGTGAATACTGGGGTGAGGGAGACGCAGGCTTAGGTTGTAAGGCTTTTTAGCAGCAAGCTGTATGTCAATTCGTCCTAGGACAGACTTCTCAAAGGGCAGAGGAGTCTCCTACATGACGGTTCGAGTGACACCAGGCAGAGAAGGTAGCTCCTGACCTATCCAGGGAGCAAACAGCTCGCAGGAATACTCTGACCCACATGACACAGCAACCCGTCGATCTTAGGTAGCTGGCGCTCACGCCAACCAAAGATGAAAGAATAGGTGAAACTGAGAAATTATAGGACTTCTTTCTTTTTCTTTCCTTTATGTACTTGAGAAAATTGGATCCTTTAAAAGATCTAATTTTAATAATAGGAAATAGTTATTATAAAGGGCTGTCACAGATTGTTCCTATTGAGTAAACCGACCATCCTTTTAAATTTCTGAATTTAAACATGTGTTTTGCACATGGTAAAACCTGAACAAATTACTGCTTGATTATGCCCTACAGTTGGGCCTTCATAGCCATGGGCTTCACCTTGATGGATTCTATCAACAATGGACGGAAACTTTGAGAAATGATTTGTGTCTGCCCTGAACCTGTACAGACACTTTTACTTTCAAAATAACAACTCTTCACATAACATTTATATGGTATTAGTTTTCGTAAGTAGTCTAGAGGTGACATAAAGAATATAAAGGGATGTGCCTAGGTTATGTACAACTACTGTGACATTTTTCATGGGGGACTGGAGTATAGGAAGAATTTGGTATCTTGGGGGCCAACCCATTGTGGCTATCAAGGAATAACTATAAGTGTGTGTGTGTGTGTGTGTGTGTGTGTGTATATATATATATATATATATATATATATATATAGTATATTGCATATAGTATATTGCATATATTATAGATTGCACATTGTGGGAGGTAATAAAAGTACAAAAGAAGAGGTTTAGTGTTACATTTCTCATTTTCATTCTACTGTTCTAAATGTGCCAGAGAATCGACACTATGCTGTTGGGAAATCAGTGATGTGGTCAAGTCCTTGTTCCTTTATGCACTTAACCAAACAGTTGGTTGTAGGAGGAGGAAACAGGTGTCAGGTGGAGGAGAACAAGGTCAGATCGGATCTACTCTGACAACCTGGTAATGAAAACCCTTGTGATCCAGATGGAGCTGTAGAAACGTTTCGGTCTAAAGGAAGTGGCCATCGGATGGCAAGAATGCGTGCGGGGCACAGGACCCCTCGTGCGCTCCCCTCTTTGGGATGACCTTCACCTTGCTGGTCCAGGGCAGACCAGAGTAGACTGCCAACAGGACATTCTCACATGCTGCCTGCCTGTGTCCCTGCTATAACCTTACTGTGACAGCCCGAGGCTTATTTCTGACATCTGGCACAAGTCATCCAAACAGTTTAGCCGAAGTTGAAGGGCAGCAAGTGTACCTGAGGCTGCCACTCCAACCTGTCCATGTGCTGGGCTCCCAGCACCCTGTACCCAGCAGCCTCATTAGGATGTAATCTGAACATGCTGATCTCCTTGGCCCTGTCTGGGGCTCGTTTCACTTTATTTCTCTTTCATTTTAAACTTTTCAACCAAAAGCTTGAACAATAATTTGATTCTTTATGTTCAAAAGTACTTCTAATGGTCACTTCTAAAGTTTAGCTGCTTCGTAACCCCTGGAATCACCAGGCTTGGCGTTTTGTTTCCTGAAGCCTCTATTGGAACAGGCAGGAATCTGTCCACATCCTCAGCCCCTGTCTTCCTTCCTTTCATCCTCTCTCTCCCACAATGCCCTCCCTGCTCCGCTCCTTGGCCCCCAATGCAGGTCTATCAGGAGCAGCAAGAGGTCGACATCAAAGCTCACTTCCAGCCCGTGGCTCGCCTGCCTCTAATGCTGGCATTATAGAGAAAAGAGGGAGTGTGTGAGACAGAGAGACTCGGGGGGCTGAGAGAGTGAGGGAGAGGGGCCAGATTGCCTGAATGGCCTCTCACACAGGAGCTTGCAGAATAGAACAAAACCCCCCATTCTCCCTCTGTTTGTAAGAGGCTTGAGCAGAATGGGCATGTGTGGTGCGCAGTCGGGTCTGAGCTGCATTAGCACTCTTTCAGTTTACAAACAAGGGGCCTAATTTAGAAGAAAAATCTTCTATCTGATTATTTCTTTGTGTTCATCCATGCAGAAAAAAATGTCTGTTCAGGGTTGGGGGGATTGGTATTGAGGTGGCTTATTAACTCCTCAGGCTGAATTACGATTGTGAAGGGCAACTGGGAGACTGTTATCCATCCTTAATTTCCAGACTTCAAACATGATTTAAGGATCGCTAGTTTAGAGCACTGTATAAAAATATGAAGCAGATCATGTTGTCATTCTGTCGGATCAGCTTCTCCCTCCCAGGCAGTATGGCAAATGCTCTAGCTTGTGAACAAATGCCCCCTTTCCCTTAATTATGCTTTATGGTGATACAAGAGGATGCAATTAGGGTCACTGATAGAGAGAAAGCCCTGGAGAATTCTTTGAAACCTTCTGGGTTACAAACACCACGGCCAGTTCCTGGGGCCAAAGTTGTCACAATGCATGCTATCCCAGGCATCTGGGTTTTCAAAATTGTTCAGCTGAAATAGATTGGAAAGAAATAGATAGGAGATTTATGGAAAGATGATGGATAAGCCTCGTTATAGAATAACTCCATATACAGCTGCTGGGAAGTTTTAATCTCTTATTAATGAAAGAGAGAAAGTGTTTACAGGATACAAAGATTAAACGGTATTGGTTAAGAGTTACTTTTTCATAAGTTTAAATGTTAGATGGAGTAGAACTATCCCTATGAAAGAAAAGCCTTTCTAGCACTCAAGATAAAATATATTTTTGGAGAAGCAGTATGGTTTTAGAGTAAGTCCAGTCCTCCATTTGTTCGCTCTCATATTGACATATTTTCCTAAATTCCCAGAAGTATGTCTTACTTAGATACTTGTGGGTTGTAAATGCATGATGATCATGGTTGGAACTCTGCAGAAAGTCAAAGCTTTTGGAAAACAATAGGGGAGTTCAACCATGGGGAGCTCTTGTCTACAGGTAAGGAGGAGAGCTGAATTTGGATTTTGAGATTGTAGTACACATTTATTGGGGACCCAAATTTTGGGACAGAGTTATTGGTCCTTAACACTTCAAATGTATTCCCTAATTGAAGGTAGGAAGAATGCAAAAGTGGACGCAACAGTGTTTGCTATACCAACACTCAAAAGAAGAAAGCAAATTTATTACCAATTGCAAGACAGAATAGTTTTTGGAGATCTGCTAAGTGTATACCAGTGAAAGAAAGAAGGCAGTTCTGCAAGAAATTTTACTCTTACAGAAAAGAACACTGGAAGAAATTATGCTTTTCTGGCACTGGGCATTTTTATGCTATAATACAATGCTTGAACTTTGCTAGATATCTGGAATCCACAAAATAAGAAGTCGAGCACAGACGTCAGCACTGTAAAGAACTACCATTGTAACTCTGTGAAACAGTAACATTAACATTAGAAATAATCCACCTTAACTTTATTTTTTGTAGTCTATGTCTCTTTTTATAGGGTAATGAAATAAATATCCATAAAAATTTAATATAGAAATAAATAATTTGTAACAGGAGAGGCTGAATATGATGAACTGATATACAAAATACAGATTTTAATCAATTTTACAGGAGTCTCTTGGGGTCTTCTGTGTGTTCAATAAGCTGAACACATTAAAACATGTTATTTGACTACTTGCACATATGTATATACCAATGCATACTAAAATTAGTATTATACTAGTAACAATATTGCTATTATACTGATACAGTAATATGAATAATATGAATATTTTAAGTATAAGATTTTTGTGAGTAATAGTATTGTTTGGGGAATTTCCTTTTCCTATCTTTCATTGCTAGTATACTTCTTTGTATGTAATATGTAATAATAACTTTGCTTTGTATATTAATCTTTTATCCTGCAACCTTTATCCACTTACTTATTTATGCTTATTATTGCATATACTGATTTATAGGTTATATCAAATTTCTAAATGGACAAGTATATGATCTATGAATGGCCCAAAGTTTGTCTCTTCCTTTTCACAATGGAAGGCTTTGTATTTCTTTTCTATGCCTTATTAAATTGGCTACATAGCCTGTATAGAGAGAATATGAGTGCAAATTATAAGAGCAGACATTTTTGTCTTACTCTGGATCTTAGAGTAAAAAAGATGCAGTCCTTAACCATTAGCTATCACCTTAGCCATACGTTTTTCATATGGCCATTATCAGAATGTAGAGTTTCCCTTCTGTTTCTAGTTAGCTAAAATTTTGTATTGGAAATATATATTGAACTTTATCATAGGCTTATGCGTTGTTACAGTTTATATCTAGACCTCCCCTGAAAGCCTCATGCACTCATAGATGGGGCTTTGGGGTAAATCGGACCTTGAAGGTATGATATTTATCAACGGATTAGTCCGTGGTGAGTTTGCAGCTGAGTGTGATGTTGAGAGGCGTGACCTTGTGGGAAGAGATGGGTCATGGTGGGGGCGGCCTGGAGGTTATGTGAACCTCCTCCTCCCTCGATGCATGGTCTGCTTCCTGACCCTCATGCCATAAATTGGTCTTCTGCGATGTCCCTCTGCCATGCCATCCTGTTTTGGAGCCAGTTGACTAAGGGCTGAAACCTCTACAAACTGTGAGCCCAAATAAACCTCTTCTCCTTTAATTGGGTGTCAGGTATTATATCTCAGTGCTGAGAAAGGGATCCAAACGTGTGCATGCATTGAAATGGTCATACTCTAGTTTAGCGATTTGGTTTGTTAATATGGTATTATACTGATTGACCGTTGAGCATCAAAGCAACTTTTTAAAAGAATAAATCTCACCTGGTTAGAATGCATTAAATCTGTTCAATCTAATGAAATATTGCCTAGCATTTGTGTTTTATGTACAAGAAGGCTATTTTTCTCTGGTATTCTTTTCTTATGGTTTATTTGTCAGCACTTGGCATTTGTGTAATATTGGGTTCACAGAATACATTGGTAAACTTTTTTTTTTGTACCCGGGATCAAACTTGGGTCCTTGCACTTGCAGTGTAGGGGGGCAGAACCCCTGAGCTTAATCCCTGGCCCTCACAGAATACATTGGAAAGTGCTGCCTCCTCCTTGGCATTCTGAAAGAGCTTGTGCACAATTAATATTATGTCTTCTGTAAATATTCAGTAATATTCACTAATGAAGTGATCTCAACCCAGTATTTTCTTTACAGAAAAATTGTTCTTAGCCACACATTTAATATCTGCAACAAGTATGAGGCCATTTATATGATCTATTTATTGAATGAAATTAGTAGTTTGTATCTTTTCAAGAACTGACTAGTTACATCTAAGTTGTGAATTTTATTGGCACAATGTTGTTCATAGTATTTCTGTAGTATATGATACCTGTATAACATTCCTGATATTTATAGTTTACATTTTCTCTCCTTTTCATAATGTCCAGGATACCTAGAAGATTGTCTGTTTTATATATTTCTACAAAAAGTTAGGTTTGGATTCATTCATTTCTCTATATGATTGCTATCCACTTTACTTATGTATATTTTGGTGTTTATTATTTTCCTTCTTTTCTTTTTCTCAGTATGGAAGCTGATATCATTAATTTGATGTCTTTCTTCTTTTTAACGTAAAGTGTTTATTACTATAAAATTCCCTTAATTACTGCTTTAGAAGCATCCTGAAAATTTTTGGAATTATTTTTATTTTAATCCTGTTCAACATACATTCACTTTTCCTTTTATATTTTTTAAACAGATTATTTTGATATATGCCACTTCATTTACAAATATTTCAGGGCTACCTATATATCTTTCTTTTAGCAATTTCTAATTTATATCTATCATTGATGGAGAATGTCTTTTGCATGGTTTTATTTTTTTTTATATTTTATTCAAACTTGGGTTATGGCCTGCAAACTAAACTATCTTGGTAAATGTTTTGTATGAATTTGAATGTATTTTGTAGTGTTTTTGGATAGTGTTTTTAAAAGTGTTAGTTGGGTCAAGTGTTTTGACAATGTTGTTGACTGATTTTATGTCTAATTGTTCCATCACAGACTGAGGAAAGGTGATGAAATAT